TGGCATGAAATGTCACCATTTTTGCCTCTAAGGAGCATTCAGGTTGCATTTCCCTCAAGGCAGATTTGTTTGCTCTTTTGGCAGTTTGTGATCCATTCAGTGCTCTTCACCAACACCACAATTGAAAAGCATTGATTCTTTATTCATTGTTTAACTTTCAGATACACAGGAAGTAATTGAAAATCCTAAAGTTTAGATCAGGTATGCTTTAGTCTTTGAACTGACATCCTTTCTCTTTAGGAGTTTGGGTAGTTCCTTAACAGCAGATTTCTCCAATGCAACATGCCTTTTGATTTCTTGACTGCTGCTTTCATTGGGGTTGATTATTGATCCAAGTAAAACAACTTTTCTTTGCAAAAATAACTAAGCAAATCTGTATTACAGGACATTCTGCAAAACAACTGGCATGGCCTTTTTCAATAATATTCGTGGAACATTTTAAAAAGGGTTATAGGAGACTGTAAAGGAACTTTAGTGGCCTAGTGGTAAACTGTGCTTCAATCCCAAAGGCACACAGTTTGAATCCACCAGGTTTCCCATGGGTAAAGGATGGAAAATCTCCTCTTGTGTGATTACTGCCTCTGAAAATCTGCTGGAGGGTCAGCTGTGAGTTGTTCTGATTCAATGACATACAAGAGGAGACGGTAAAGTTGTAATTGCATACATTGATTGATAATCTTGGATTAAAAAATCTTTTTCATGGTCATTTGGATAAAAGTTTAAAGAGCAAATTGATTTTTCATTCAACTATTCATACATATTTTGTTCTGTGACATTGATTATAATGCCTACATTTCAATAACCCTTTACCATTTTCTCCCTGTGATTTCCATTTCCATTCACCCTTCTTTCCCTTCCTTCCTCTGAGCTTTATTCATGGAGAAATACCACCCTTTTGGTTTTGTATGGTTGATTGTCATAATAAGAATCAGGTACCTCCCAGGTATTGTTTTATAATTTTTAGGCTATTGTTTGGCTGAAAGTTGCACCACCCAGAAGATCTCACTGCTAGGCTCAAAGAGTGACTAAAGCCATTGTCTGGGGGCTCCTCCATTCTCCAGCAACCTACTAGCATGCCCATTTTTATGATTCTCCTTTTTGCTTCACATTTTTTCTCCCACTGAAAGGACTTTCTACTGTGATCCCGGTCAGTATGGTCAGCGGTGGCAGGATTCTGGCTTTTTAAAAGTTCTGAAGAACATATTTGGGAAAATTGGAGACATTTCAATATAGGGAGCTCTGGTGGGTTATATACTAGAGACGAGTGAGTGCGAGAGTGGTTCATTGGTAAAATTCTCACTTTTTCATGAGAGACAATAAAAAGAAGTAAGATGGGACAAAGATAGGCAGATCTGACCTCTGCTTACTCCACAAGGGCAAGGGGAAACTGTATCATCAGCTGTCCCCCCACAACACCACTTCCCATGAAGTCAGACATGTTCTCCCTGCTCCCACACCTCTTTCTTCTAATTGTAACACCAAGTCTACTGTTGTACTGACTCTAAAATCTGTTGCAATAGCTTCACAGACTTCATAGAACCATACTCACAATTATGGGGCTTATTAGGGAAATCAACAGGTTACAACTAAGGTTGGCCACAGGATACAATTTCTTACTTAGGACAGTTTCTGAAGCATGCTCACTGGTCCTTTAGCCTTTAGTCTTACAGCTTTTGAAAATTTTTTAAATTTTACTTTTTGTGTGTGTGTTTACTGTCAAATCAGATCTAACTGGTACAGGAGGAGATTGCCCCTCCTTCTCCACCAAAGCATCTGGTGGATTCAAACCATGCACCTCTGGGATTGCAGTGCAACCTCTTACCACTAGGCCACCAGAGCTCCCCAAGTCTTACAGCTTTAGGTCAATGTTCTAAAACTTTCTAGTCTTGCCAATTATGGCATTACAACTGTACCCCTAAATCCTCAGTAAACTTGGGCAAAGTCTCCTGGCTCTGGCTCTGCAGGACATTGCTTGATTTAAACCTGGTAGAATTGCAAAATTAGCCAATCCCCAGCCTGATAGACTAACACATTCGATTTACATGCTTCCGCTCAGCCCTGTAGCAAAGTTAAGGGCAATGTCCTAGGAAAGCCATTTTGAACAATATAGCCATTGTACCACAGAGATCGAGGTTAGATTCCTAGAGTGCAGCCACTTCCTGTCTGTAGTAGAGGACTCACTGTTGCTGTGATGCTGAAGGGGTTTTAAGAGAGTTTCTGGTCCTCAGTGGATGAGAAGAAAAACTTGACAATCTACTTCTGATAATAAACCAATCAAAATCTGAGGGATCAGAGTGGTCTAAACGGCAACTGATTATGGGGTTCACACAGAACTGGGCCAATTGCACAGCAGCTAACAACAAAATTATAATTGTAATGTGGTCACATAGGAGAATATCCTGTTTATCAGCGAGCAACAGACTGAAGTACCTAGCGGCAAAATGTCATGATGTCTGAAACTAAGCAGTTTATCAACGCGTTAATGCATAGTTAATACAGAGACAAGGGAGCTCTAGAGGTAAACCTAGAGGGGGTTGTGCTGTCAACTCAAAGGTGGCCTAGCTTGTGGTTTAAATCCACCAGGTTAAATTTCTCTGTGAGAGAAAGATGGGCAATCTCCCCTCATGTGATGTGCAGCCTCTAGAAACTCATTGGAGGGTCAGCTATGCATCCGTTCCAAATTAAAAGCAATGAGTTTGAGTTTTTGAGGTCATTATAGGAGAAATCAGGAGATGTATTACACTAGGCAGCTCTGCTGTCAGAGACATCTCTAAAATGCTGGAAAGCAATAGTGTCTTTTTGAAAACTAAGGTGTGTCTGATTCAGGTCATGATCTTCTTAATCATCTGCTAAACATCAGAAAGCTGGACAACGAAGGACGACAGTAGAAGAATTGATGCCTTTGAGTTGTGGTGTTGGAAAAGAGTACTAAACATCCTATGGATGACGAAAGAACAAACAGCTAGGTGTTGTGGATAGTGCAGCCAGAACACTTCTTGTAGGCAAAGATGAGGAAGCTTAGTGTTTCATACTTTGGACATGTAGCTAGACAAGACTATTCGTTGGAAAAGGATATCATGCTTAAAAAGATAGAGGGTCAGTGAAGGAGAGGAAGTGGGTTCTGCAATGGGCTGCTCTATAGAGTGTTAGAGATGATGAGGATAGAGTAGAGTTCATAGGGTTGCTATGAGTCATACTCTACTTGATGGCATCTAACAACAATAGGACAAAGGAACCTTGGTGCTCAGTGGGCTGATGACAGAAAGGTCATCAGTTCAAATCCACCAGATGATTGGTAGAGGAAGATGGAAGTAGTCACTTTCATTGAAGATTTACAGCCTCTGAAACCCAATGGAGGGTAATAATGAGTCAAAATTAACCCTACGGGAGTGCATTTTGGCTTTATAAGAGAATCTGAATTTACAGAGATTACACCAAAATCACAGATTTTAATTTAAGGAAGTGTTCTCTGGGTCTGAATTTTAACTCTATATTAACTCTCCAACAGTTTGATTTACTTGCTAAAATTTCACGTTTTGCTTTTTGAGGAGGGTATTAATTTCATTTAAAAATACCATGTTCTATCATAAAACCTACTTTAATATCCAGTGTGTGCATATCATAGTGGGAGGCACTCAAAAAATGGTTCAATTCAGCTAAGCAGTGAACATAACAAGCCCTAGCCTCTAAGAGGCGCTGTCTACCCCGTGCTCCTGGATGACTATGGTTTAAATGCAATCCCGGGATGGATCTCAAGCGCTAGGACGGGAGGGTGCAGAGCAAGACGGGCAGGCTCTAGCCACAGTGCATGCGCACACCGCCTTGCCTCATTGTACTGCTACTCTCGCCTCCGTTCAGGTAGGAGCTGTGTGCGAGGGAGGGGCATGTCCTGGGGGCGGAGCTGAGGGGGAGCCTCAGGTCTGCAGGTTCCTCTATGGCGGAACCCCAACTTTCAACATCAGCCGGAGCTATTCTTGTAGCTGCTCCTCGGGGTAGGGGGTCTATTTCTGGGTCTGGGGGCCGCTGAGACGCTGTTCGCGGCCAGTACACTTTTTTTGCTCTCAGTCGCACAGATCCTGCCATTTCCGCCCTTGCACCCCAGGCTCCTATCTGTCCCCAGAGTCGGAAGTCCTGGGTAGCTTGAGGACACGGGGCTGGGCAGGTGCCGAGAGCTGCCGCCTCTCTCCCTCCCCTTCCTCGTCGCTGGTCCCTGCCTGCCAGGCTGAGCTGCTCGCTGCCAGCTGCTGGGGGGCCTCCCGGAGTCTACGTGCCGTCTTGCTTCTCCTGCGCCTCCTCCTTCTGCTTCAATTGCTACCTTAACGGAGCGGAAAAATTGGGGGCACGCCGGGGGTCATGGGAAACGGGGCTGAACTCAGCTTGTGCACGCTTCCGCCACTAGGCGGTCCAGTCCGGCTGGTTGCAGCTCCCGCCATAGCCCCTCAGGTTGGACTTAAGACCCTGCAGCCCCCAGCTAGTTAGGGAGCCCACAATTGGTGCTGGGGGAGTGAGGGTCAATTTTGCAACTATAATTCCAGAAGCATCAGTTATACCCCACCGAGTGTTAAGCACTGGAAGTTACAGGGTGAGATCTGTTCTAGAAGACGTGGAAGTAGGGTTATTGGGAGAGAATGTGTCAATCTGTGTGTTGGAAGAGTATGTGTTAGTTTGTCTGAGTGTGTGTGTGTAGACAGTAGCCTTTCATATGCCTTTGCTGAATGAATGGGAAGGTAGGGTGACTAAGGAATCAGGGCTGGAGAAGGGAACTCCACTTAACCCACACCTGCCTCCCCTGGGCTCATGGCAGACAAAAGTAATTAGGTTGAGACTTTAATCACTGCTGGTTTCATAGGCAGGTGGACTAAGAAGAGGCGGGAAAGGCAGAAATCCTGGGGATGTGGGATTCGAACTTGGCTCACAGGCACTGCCACACTGTGGGACCCCCCCCAGGGGCCCCCCCCCCCAGATTTGCTATCATTAACCTGTTTTCTTTTTGCCCTTAGGACACTGGGTTCCCTAGGAGCCGCCCCAGGCTTAATGATTGTCCAGAAAGTGGCTATAAAGGGAGCCTGGGAGCCTGAGTGGAGGAGGGAGTAGAGAAGACCTTACTCAGCAGATCCGGTACTGAGATTGCCAGCAGGCTCCAGCTGCGGTCAGAGGCTCCACGTCCTGGCCAGTAGGGCCTGCTCTCCTCCACCATGGCGGCCCAGGGGTATGGCTACTATCGGACTGTAATCTTCTCAGCCATGTTTGGGGGCTATAGCTTGTACTACTTCAATCGCAAGACCTTCTCCTTTGTCATGCCTTCGTTGGTAGAGGAGATCTCTCTGGACAAGGATGACTTGGGTGAGTTCTAAAGAGAAGGGAAGGGTGGTGACTTGGGATCAGAACTGCAGGATGCATGGGGTGTGTGGCAGAGTGGTACACCATGGGTATCGTGCCCAGCAATGGGGTGCACTGAGTGAAGAGGTTCTGTGCCTCATGTTTATGTATCTGGAGGAAAGGATTCAGAGTTTGCCTCTGCATGCCTGAGGAAGTGATGTGCATGTGCGCTGTGTACCTATGACCTGCACATGTTCTCCCAGGCCATGCTTCTCCTGGATGTATTGAAGGGTTCTGAGTGTGGTCTCCACACCTGTGTCAGGCAGGCTAAGGCTGCAGGCTGAGTGCTGGCCCTTGACATCATAAGTACTGGGCACTGAGGAGTTGGCATAATGACTGCATGTGCCTGGCAGGCTGCTCTTCCTGGCTCCGATCCTGAGCCCTTAAGCCTCATGTTCAGAGATAAGGCAACAGAATTGTCAGAGGCTGTGGGGTGATGTCCAGGCTCAGGTGGGCAGTCAGGCATATATTACATATCCCAGGGGAGGGAAGTTGTCTGACCCGCTCTCTTCTGACAGCTGCAGCTAGAACTCTCTGAGAGGCTGAAAAGTCATGGGTCATCTGGGGGCTAGTGCTGGTGAGGAGGCAGGGAGGAGCTGGGCCCTTGAATGAGTGTTAAGTTTCCACCACCAGCTCTTCCTGTTCCTCTTGGAAGGAATATGTCTCACCCTGCTGACACCTCTATACACCTGACCCCATGCCTTCCTCCACCCCTGTGCCCTCTGCCCTAACCCCCCAGGTGTCCTGCTCCCTGCTCCCCTCCCCTGCAGGCCTCATCACCAGCAGCCAGTCTGCAGCATATGCTATCAGCAAGTTTGTGAGCGGGGTGCTGTCTGACCAGATGAGTGCTCGCTGGCTCTTCTCTTCGGGGCTGCTCCTGGTTGGATTGGTCAACGTCATCTTTTCTTGGAGCTCCACAGTGCCTGTCTTTGCTGCTCTCTGGTTCCTCAATGGTCTGGCACAGGGGCTAGGCTGGCCCCCGTGTGGGAAGATCCTACGAAAGGTGAATGACTGCTTCTAAAGATACTGTTTAGATTGGCATGGGAGCCACCAAAGAGCATCTGGGCATACTCCTTCTTACCCACCACTTCCACTCCCCACCCACAGCAGGTTCCTTGGAGTTTCTGTCCAGCTCCTACTGCTTGTCAAGATATTTTAGGAGTCTGAGAGTGGTGGGATCAGGTGGCGGATGAGGGAACTGGCCCTGCCAAATGGACTCTTCCTCTCCAGCACCCTTGTAATATGATCTGGGTCTGCCCCACCTGACCCCACCCTGCATGATCTATAGGCTGAGTGCCTACTTTCCCCTCCTCTGTCCCACAGTGGTTTGAACCATCTCAGTTTGGCACTTGGTGGGCCATCCTGTCAACCAGCATGAACCTAGCTGGAGGACTGGGCCCAATCCTGGCAACCATCCTCGCCCAGAGCTATAGCTGGCGCAGCACACTGGCCATGTCTGGGGCACTGTGTGTGGTCGTCTCTTTTCTCTGTCTTCTGCTCATCCACAACGAACCTGCTGATGTTGGACTTCGCAATCTTGACCCTACCCCCGCCAAGGGCAAGAAGGGTGAGTGTCTCTTCTCAGGCTGACCACTGGGCACCCTGATTCATCAGTCATTCACAGATTTTTGTTGAAGATTGATTCCATGCCTGGCCCCATGCTACCTGAAGCATATTTGGGAATGTGTGGTGGTGGAAGGGAGTACAGACACAACTCCATGCTAATGGGCCATTCGATTACAGACTAATGGCAGAGCGTCCAGGTGGCCTGGTTGTGCGTCACAACAGGAATTAAACCTTCCTGAGAGGATCCCAAACTTAAGTGGCTTGGGTGCCTCCTCCCTCTTCAGTTTTCTTTTCATTGGTGGAGGCTTGCAGGGAGAGGAGGGCAATGTGGTGGAGACCCTTCATGCTGGTCCCTGCTTTGCTGACAGGGGCTCTTACTCTGGTTGAAGAATGGTTGGGGCTTATGTGAGGGCAGGGCAGCAGGAAGCAGTATTGAGGCCTGGTTTTCCACCTCCAGGTTCCCCAAAAGAGGACAGTACCCTACAGGAGCTGCTGCTGTCCCCCTATTTGTGGGTGCTCTCAACTGGCTACCTTGTAGTATTCGGGGTAAAGACCTGCTGTACTGATTGGGGCCAGTTCTTCCTCATCCAAGAGAAAGGACAGTCAGCCCTTGTGGGTAAGAGAAGTGCTGGGATGAGGTGCCCGAAGAACGGTATGGGAGGCACAGGAGGGGACATCCAGGGCTGCTTCTGTGTCCTCTTTCTTTCCCTGAGGCTGCGTACTGCACAGGCGGTTATAGCCAGTCACCCTTGGGGACCCCTACTTCTCTGGGTTTAAGCCAATATGGGTTAACCACAACATAGAACTCTTTTGTACCCTCCCTTTCCTTCTTCCCACAACTCCACACTGCAGGTAGTTCCTACATGAGTGCCCTGGAAGTTGGGGGACTTGTAGGCAGTATTGCAGCTGGCTACCTGTCAGACCGGGCCATGGCTAAGGTGAGTGGGCAGAAGGGACAGGAAGGTAGAAGGTCTCTTTGATTCTTCCTGAGAGAACAAACAAAAACATCTTGGAGAAAGTGAAACCAGGGGTGCTCCTCAGAGGCGAGAATGGCAGTTTTGTCACACATACTTTGGGAATGTTGTTAGAATAAAGGCCAGTCTTTGGAAAAGACATCATGGAAAGGTGGAGGGTCAGCCAAAGAGAGGAAGCCCTTCAGGGAGGTGGACTGACAAAGTAACTTTACAATGGACTCAAGGACATCCAAGATGGTGAGGATGTCACAGAAGAGGACAGGGTTTAGGTCCATTGTTCATGGGGTTGCTATGGCTTACAGTCTTACCTGACAGCACCTAACAAGACTGAGTTAGGCACCAGTGAGGGCATTCCAGGACACAGGCAGGTTGGCATGTATTGGTTTATATTAGATGAGGTAACAGTGATTCCATGCTACTCTTACCTTTCCTAGGGAAGTGCATGGTAAGTCTCTGGGGGAAAGGTTTGTAAGGGATGTCAAGGACAGCAGACTTTCTCTCTCTAGCTGTAGGCTCTTTCACAGCCTCAGAAAAACTAGGAGGGGGGAGGAGATGGACGGGTGCACCTCCCCAGCACGTGTCCCAAGCCTGTGGAGTTTGGCCTTAGAATGCAATGAGCAGGTCCTAGGGCCTCCCAGAGCTTCCTGGGCCAAAAACTGTGGTGGGATTGCCAAAGACCTGTCAGCAGAGGCCCTGCTGTATCATAGTCCAGGGGTGGGGGTTCGCTGCTTAACTCCCAGTGCCTGAATCCACAGGCAGGGCCGTCCATCTACGGGAACCCTCGTCATGGGCTACTGCTCTTTATGATGGCTGGCATGACTGTGTCCATGTACCTCTTCCGGGTAACCGTGACCAGTGACTCCCCCAAGGTAAACAAAGAGGGCTGGCCCAGGGAATGCGAGGGCCGCTGGTTCTGCCTCCCTCCCCCTGGGTTCCAATGTGGCTCAGTTTTCTGTTCACACTGCCCCCTCCAGTTCTGTGGTTTGTTCCTCAGTCCTTCTCCTCTGTCCTCTGCTTCTCCTCCTCCATTCTGGCCTGGTTTTCTTTTCTTTATGCTTCTCTAGGATGCTTTCTGGATTCCAGCTCTGCACCCTCTCGCTGAACTCACAGGGTTTACGGAGCACGAGGTGCCTTATCTTTATCTCTGGTTTTCCGCCTGGTCTGTCTTACCTTTGCCCAACTCCCTCTGCCTTGCCCCTAGCTGACCCTATTGTGCATAATTTCTGGGAGATGACAGCATCAATTCTAGGGGATGGCTAGACCTCCTTCACTCCAGGTGGAGGCCCTCGGTGGGCTGTGCTGTGCTAGGCACCACAGTTCTGTGCTGTGGATTGTACTGAGAAGTCGGGTGAGGAGTCACACATAGTGCCTTTACTACTGTTAGTTATTCCAGGGGACCAAGCACTTTCTCCTGTGGTGGGGTGGGGTTGGAGGTTTCTCAGACTCTGAAGCTGCCCTGTATTACCCTTGCAGCTCTGGATCCTGGTGTTGGGAGCTGTGTTTGGTTTCTCCTCATATGGTCCCATTGCCTTGTTTGGAGTAATAGCCAATGAGAGTGCCCCTCCCAACCTGTGTGGCACCTCCCATGCCATTGTGGGGCTCATGGCCAATGGTAAGTGAGAGCCTAAAGATGCCAGCCTCTCTCTCACTGGGACTTATGCCTTACGTAAAGGCCAGGATGAAGCTTCAGCATGCCTCTCGCTCTAGCCTCACAAATAGTTGTGGCTCTTTCCCTCTTTCCTGACAGTTGGCGGCTTTCTGGCTGGGTTGCCCTTCAGCACCATTGCCAAGCACTACAGCTGGAGCACAGCCTTCTGGGTGGCTGAAGTGATCTGTGCAGCCAGCACAATTGTCTTCTTCCTACTTCGAAACATCCGCACCAAGATGGGCCGCGTGCCCAAGAAGGCTGAGTGAAGAGGAAGCAGGATCTGGGGGATCTTCTCTTACCCAGAGCTTTTCCAGGAGGATGCTGGGTGGGCATCGGCTGCTCTGGTAGCACTGGACCTTTGACCTTTTCTGCTCCTTCCCTCGCCAAGGTGGCACTGGAAGTTGTCAGAGGTCAATGAGGTCTCATCTCCTATCCTGTGCTCTATTTAAAGATACCCTTTGTCCTGGACTCCAATAGCTCCTATTTTCTGCCTCCAAATGCAGCACCCTTATAGACAGAGAGTCTCCTAGACCTCTTCTTTCCTGGACTTGGCATTATTATCACCCCATTAGGGGTGTGGTTGCTCTTGCAGCACAGGGCACTAATGTCCTAACCTCTGTCCCAAGGTCTCTCAGCAGTGGGTGACTCCTACTGCCAACCCCCCTTAGACTCCAGGGGAAGAGAGGAGCTAGCCATCCCACTAATACCCTGGTACAGTAAGGGGTATGGGAGGGAGGGGAGGGAGACTTGTTCTAGAATATTAAAACTAGATTTGATACTAAACACTGTGATTCTTTGTTACAGAAAAGGGGACCATAAGCCACTAATAGCTTTCTCTGGAAGAAAGCACTGTCTCTTTCCACTTCAAAAGAGAGACTCCATTTCCCTGTAATGGGAAAGTGGTGATGTAAACAGACTCCTATTGTCGTCCTTTAAGTTCATGCCTCCTCTGCCTTCCTTTTAGTACCCTATAGTTCAGAGGTCTTTAAGGGCAGCTGCTGGGCTTCAGGCAGGTTAAATGTCCTGATAGAGGGAGGCAGTGTTGACAATGGTTCACTAATAACTGTAGTCAGGAAGCCTAGGCTCAAACTCAGACTGGCTGTCAGTAATTGGCGTAGAGCCTTTGAAACACAAGGTTTCAAAGGCACCCTGCTGAACTTACTGTCGGTAATAGAAGGTACCCCTTGAGTGAGGGTGGATGTTAAGTGAGGAAGAGCAAGAAAACCTAGTTGAAAGTACTTGATAAATGTTCCATTATAATAATTACTATTATTTCTACACCTCGGGAAATCAGCAGCCATCTGGGACTGTATCCAAGGCTCACAACTCAAAGTCCTGTGTTCATTCATTTAATCAACACATATTTGTTTGGTTTTCTACTAGAACATAATGTCTTAACTTCACAGGATTCTCTCACTAGTTCTGTCTCCCCTCTAGTGCCTTGCCCCAAAACCATCAATTAGGATAGCAAATACTGAGGTCAGAGGATGTTTATTACATTCCCAGGCCCACCTCCTCCATAAATAAATCTGTACAGAGTTAGGAAATGATATATACAACAGGAAATAGAGCACAGTATTAAGACCGATGGATCAGTATGAGTCTTCAGGCACAGTATCCACCTGTTTCCATGGACACTATCACGACTGCTGAGTGTTTCACTGAAGTGGAAACCGCAGGAGCTCACGATTTGGGGATCTGGTGCAGGTTTAGCCTATGATCCAGGTCCAAAAGTCCCAGCCTTTTCTGCTACCTCCAGGGCTAGCTTCAGGTTCTGATCAAACAGCTCACATCTAAGCCATAAGGCACAAGAAAGAAAGAGTATGAGGTCTAAAGCTTTCTCCATATTTTAGGTGCATACTCAGGACAAGTAAAAACTCTCCTTTAAAAAGGACAAGAACCCCAGGAAAAATCTTTGGTTTCTCAAAATAAAAACACCACTATTTGTTTTAAGTAATTCTCTACTGTGTTGTTGTTGTTATGTGCCGTCGAGTCGCCTGCGACTCATAGCGACCCTATGTACAACAGCCCTAAACTCTGCTCTGTCCTGTGCCAATCGCACTGTCTCTGACACTCCCATCCCAATTATCCCAGTCACTGAATCAATCCACCTCATAGAGGGCCTTCCTCTCCTGCGCCGTCCCTCCACCCTCCCAAGCATGATGTCCCTCTCCAAGGACCGGTCTCTCCTCACAACATGTCCAAAGTAAGTCAGACGGAGCCTCAGAATCCTTGCCTCCAAGGAGCCACCCGGTTTAACCCTCTCCAGGACAAATCTGTGTGTTTTCCTAGCAGTCCATGGTATTCTCAATACTCTTCTCCAGCACCACAGCTCAAAGGCATCAATTCTCCTTCTATCCTCCTTGGTCATTGTCCAACTCTCTGATGCATAACAGGTGATTGCGAAGACCATGGCCTGTATCAGACGCACCTTAGTCTCCAGAGAGACACCACTGCTCTTCAGCACTTTGGAGAGGTCCCTAACAGCAGACTTTCCCATGGCAATGCGCCTTTTAATTTCCTGGCTGCTGGTGCCAAGACTGTTGACTATGGAGCCAAGCAAACTAAAGCTGTGTACAATCTCAATTTCTTCACATCCATCCAAAATTACTTAAGAACCTAGGAGAGGTAAGGAGGCTTTTGACCAGGATTTGGGGAGTGGGGCCACCCACCTGATGGGCATTTCCAGGGAGTAGAACGGATTCTTGAGGGCATAATCTGAGTAAATCTCATAAATTTTTCGAAGAAGGGAATCAATTCCTGCTTGCCTAGGATCTGCAAGCACCACAAACTTGATCCCTGGAGAGAAGCAGGAGATAGTTCCAAAGGTTTGAGAATGAAGCAAATAATGACCTCCTGCAGTGCTTGGAGAGCAGTTTCAGAAGACCATTTTAATTTTATTACTACAGAGAAGAACACTGTATCTATAGCCAAGACTATAGAAATGAAGATACTTCTTAGCTATCTGATTGAGAGTTGGCTTTGAATTCTAGCTCTGCTACTTTTAAATGGCCTTAGGAACCCTCAGGTGACAAAAACTTATGTTCATCTACTAAGCTAAAGATCTGAGGATCACGCAGCCTCATGAACTGTGGAAGATGATCCTGGCAACCTGCATCTATCTACATTAACAGCTAGGAAAACCCTATGTAGCAGGTGCATTCTGTAACATGGGGTTGCTATGAATCAATCAAGAGTTGATGACAACAGGTTTGCTTTTTTGTTTGTATTTTCTTTAAGGGATCCTCAGTACAAAGAGTGGCAAGCAGGGAACAAACTCCGTTTTCAATTATTTGCTTTAGAGGAATAAAACAATGCCACCCAGGATCTTAAGGGTTCTTTCGTTTTAGCTTTCAAATTTCATCTTTGAACAAGACACCTTCCAAAATGCACGTGAGTGTGACACCTTTTAATATGCATGGAGTGAGAGTAAAGTGAGTTTTCTATGAGTATGGGATAACCAGGGCCGAGCATACTGGGTAACATGGACAATTGGCTTCAGAATAATATCTGCTTTGGAGTCACAAAACATGGATGTCTGTACAACTGCCTCAGGAAAATCTGACACTGCTCACCCAACCTTTACCAAACTGTCTTTGACCTCCATCTCTTCCTCCAACCAGCCCACTGTATGGACTACAGGGAAACACATACCTGTCAATGTCTGAAAGCAGTGCAGTTTGAATGTGTCTGTCTCCAGCATCTCAATGCCTGAGCTGCCCTGCTCAGGAGACAGCTGGGAACCGATGGCAAAGAGCCTATATGCAAAGGAGGCAAAGCTGAGTATGTACCCCACTGCTATCAGGTAGGGTGCTTTTTTAAACTTTGCATTAAGGCAACTTTCAAGATTACTGCCTGGGCCTGTCTGGAGAAATAATGTAGAACAACTGGTATCAGTATCTGCATTTCTTAAAAACTGATCTGAATCTACATGTATTACAATACATGTAAAGTATTACATACTTTACTAGAAAAAAATAATTACTCCATTAAAAATTGAGTCAACAGCCTCGGAATACATGCCATGTTCACTTCGTGGTGATGCAGACTCCAGCACACCTCACACCCAAGCTTCAGGAAAAGATCTTTAAAGATCACTTTGTTCAACTGCCTTAAAGATGAAAAAACTAAGGTTCTCAGAAGAGAAGCTGACATAATCAAGATCACACAGAGTTGCTTAAAATGTGGATACACCAGATCAGCTCTTTTTCTTTTCAGTAGAAATTGACCATTATAGTGGCGGCAGTGAAAGGTACTGCAGTCTTGAGATCTTGCCCTCAAATACACAAATGCAGCCAGCCAAAGGGCTAAGCGCAGGCCGACAGGGTTAGAAAACTTACGAGTGGAACATGGAGGCAAGCATGAGCTTCTCGTTAGAGGTGAGGCGGGGTCGTCCGAATCGAATGGACACCGGGTAATTAGCAGGGTTGCCCAGGTACTCCAGCAGCTCTTTGCCGTCGGCCGTGTACTTGCCGTTCACGTCCATTCCATTGATCGCCAGAATTGCGTGTCCCACTGCAGAGGTGAAGCTAAAGGTCAAAGAAGCCTTAGCAAGGGAACCGTGTGCAGGGGGCAAGGACCTAGCTGCATCTCCTCACCCCGTAACCAGAACCGCCAGGCCCCGGTAAAACGTCTCCCCGGCCCGAACCTAGCCCACCCCGGATGCCATCGCGCTGGCCGAAGGCAACCAGCACACGCTCGTCGTGTAGCTTCAGCAGCAGATCAAGCGGGTAACTGAATGTCTTCTCCGTTTCTGCCCGTGGCGCATAGTTGTCTAGCTGGTAGATGAGGCCACCAGCTTTGTTGACCACATACACACTAAAAATGGCCATTGCTCCGGCCGCCGCTCCAGGATTCGGAACCCAAACCTTCCCTACAGCTCCGCCCAGGAGATGCGGTCGGCAGGACCCCCCCCTCAGCACCTCCCTTCCGGTCCCTACGGAAGGCCGCCTGCAAGTGTTTTCGTGGTTTCAACACCGCGCTTTAGTTAAGTTCCGTTCCTGGTAAATTATTTTCTCATTCTCATCCTAAACCAGAAAATCCCAAAGTGTGACTGTTTCACACTTAAATATAAAGGCTTCCAGCCGGAGTGGACACTGCGGGACGGCACTTTTAAAAGTGTGCCACAGGAAAACTACGGTCTAATTCCTTTTCTGGTCGGGCAAGAGTGCGTTTGGAACTTCTTTCGCGTTGCTCCGCCCACTGCCCCGGAAGTACTCACCACTGACTGAGGTTTTTGGGCGTGTGGCAGAGCTGCGCTTTCTTTTTCTCCGACATCTTAACAAGGCTGCACTTGTGGTAGCTCCTCTCCGAGCTTCGCGATGGTAAGTTTCGGGGGTGGAGAGGCACTAGGGTGCTGCAGGTAGCGGCAGTGCTTGGGTTGAATCGAGACAACGTCGACTTGGGGCTCCGTGCGTCCCCGGACAGACCGCGTTGTTGGTGAAGCCCCATGTGCTCCGTCGTGGACTTGAGGCGGGGGGTTGAGGCGCAGTGAGGAGGTACAGGGTCGCCTTATGACCTGGCTGCCTTTCCCTCTCCCTTCACAGCCGCCCAAGGACGACAAGAAGAAGAAAGACGCCGGGAAGTCGGCCAAGAAGGACAAAGACCCAGTGAACAAATCTGGGGGCAAGGCCAAGAAGAAGGTGGGAGCGAGCCCCGCTGGGAGGGGGGAGACGGGACGCCCGGCTCCTGGCGGCGTAATAGTAATCAGCGTATCGTAGGGGGAGCCCAGGGGATGGAGGCAGTACAAGTTGTTCTGCCAACCAAAGGCAGACGGTTCGAATCCACTGCGGTTTCCATGCGATTTACGGAGTACGGAAACCTGCTAGGGGGCCAGTCATGAGTCAGTTCCGACGCCGTGGTCGGAAGGAGATGCCAGGTGATCAAGCTGCGGGGTCTAGAGACTGCTTATTGTAGTTCACGCACCCATTAGGCTCGTGCGGTGCAGAGCCCGTTTTCTGAGATGATGGTGAAAATTAAGAGGGTAAAAATATTTGCTTTTAATTCCTAGCATTCAATACCATTTTGACGGCCTATTATGGATCATAAAGCTTCAAAGATCATGTCATTGGCTGTTTTTTTCTGAGGGGATACTACTATTAACAGTGACAAAGACCTCATTTACTTTGCTGCCCTGAATTGGGCGGTGCTGCAATGTGATTGGTATTTACCGGCCAGGCTGCAGAGTCCATCACTGATTCTGCAGTCCCCCAGAGTCATGGAGGGGAGCCCTCTGATAGAGTTGGGAAGGGGAAGTGTGTCTGCCAAAAAAGTGACCTCTTTTTTTTCTTATTTATTTGAGCAGAAGTGGTCCAAAGGCAAAGTTCGGGACAAGCTCAATAACCTGGTCTTGTTTGACAAAGCCACATATGACAAACTTTGTAAAGAAGTTCCCAACTATAAGCTTATAACCCCAGCTGTTGTCTCAGAGAGACTGAAGATTCGGGGTTCCCTGGCCAGGGCAGCCCTTCAGGAGCTGCTAAGTAAAGGTGAGGGGTGTTGTACCAGCATGCTTTGGCACTTAAGTCGTCCTGACTGTGATAAGCATTTTGTGTGTGAATAAGAGTAGCTAACACTACCCTGGTGTTATATTTTTAAATTGATAAGACAGATACATAGACAAAATAGAGGCGATTTTGAGTAAAATGTTTAATAAAGAGTAGAAAGTAGGGGAGCTCTGGTGGCCTAGTGGCAAGAAGCTGCACTGCAATCCCAGAGGCACATGGTTGAAATTCACCAGATGCTCTGGTACACACAAAATAATAAAATTAAAAAAAGAAAAAAAGAGTAGAAATTGAGTCTTCATGCTCAAAAAAATTTTTTTGTTTGTTGTTTTCTACTTGCTTGAATGAGGCTGAGATCATGTTTTAATGAAGGATGTAATACCATGCTGTTTCTGGTAATGATAAGCAACCTGATAGCACTCCTGGGTAAAAACCTTTCCTTTCTCCCCATAGGGCTTATCAAGCTGGTTTCAAAACACAGAGCTCAAGTGATTTACACCAGAAACACCAAAGGTGGCGATGCCCCAGCTGCTGGAGAAGATGCATAAACAGGTGAGCAGAATTCAGGACTCATGCAGGAAACATGTATAATCTTTTCAAGGCAGCACAGTTCTAACTTTTATTTCATTCTTTTCACAGGTTCAACCAATCTGTACATTCTAAAAAATAAAATTTGACTCAACCAAAAGAATGTGTGTGAGAGAGTTTTTTTAATTATTATTTAAGATGGTGACAGGATTTGGTGGAAGAAATAATAGTACACTGAGGTAATGACTGTCAGCTTAAAATAGCTGGAAGGTTATTAGGTAACCACGGGGGTTTTTCCTTTATGTGACTTCTGTTTGTTCCTTTCTGTTTTGAATTGATGCCTGAAAAGAAATGTATGAATGAAGAATAATTTCAAAAAGGGTACTGGGTGGGGGTAGTGGGTAGGTTTATACCTGGATTGCCAGCGGCGTCCATTGTTCCAGACTCGACCAAAAGAAGGCAGCCAGCATGCACTGGTGCTGGAGTTGTGATCAAAGTTGGCCCCAACTCTGCCTGGGGGCAGTTTCTTCAATTTCTCTTTTTCTTCTAAGATGATAAGGGAAAACTAGCATTTGAGTGGAAAAAAAATTTAAAAGCACTTCCTACCTTTCCTGATTTTGTTTACTTACTTTCTTTAAGAAATTCTTCATAGGATGGTCCAATTTGTTGGCTCCCGGAGCTGGAGCTATGTTCCTCATCATTAATCATCCAGGGAGGTATAGCACCTGAGAAGATCCAACAGGCAGTACTGAAATTTTCAGGCTACTGTAAACTATTAATTGACTGCCAGTTCCTTTTAGATTTTCTTAGTATTCTTTTGTGTGTACCATCAAATCAGATCTGACTGATAAAGGAGATTGTTCCTCCTTCTCCAGCAGAGAGCATCTGGTGGAGTCAAACTGCGCACCTCTAGGATTGTCCCGTTCCCCATTTCTTAACACTGTTCTGCTTGTCTATAATAGGTTAATGTAGATTTTATATAAATAGACTATAACAGGTACTGAGACTCAGCTATATGGATCAGTATTCTTTTCACTTGAATATTGTTCCACTGTCCATAATAAAGCCACTTCAAATATTTGTGTACAGGTCTTTGTACACTGCTAAACTATTTTCCCACATGGCACAGTATATAATCTTAACAACAGTTCAAATCTACCAGCTGCTTTTCAGAAGGAAGATGAATAACCTCTTGGATTTAAGCTCTGGAAACAGCAGAACTGGCCTACTCTATGCCGATGGGTTTTTCTTTATTCTAAGCATATAGTGGCTTATGGATTTCCCTTCATGTTGTAGAAGCATTTTTTTTTTTGCTTTTATTGAGAGTTCATCTATGTTGGATATATGCTCTAAAGGTTAAATGCCCCATGCATTTTGAGTAATGAGTCTTACCTGAGTGGATGTTGCCAATTCTTGGTATCTCCTGTAGTGGAAATAAGAAAAATTCTGGGTATGAAAGCCAAGAGGTGATAGGGTAACAAAATAATGGACAGGCCTTCAAGAGGTTCATGTTTTTAATAGTGGAGATGTCAAACTTCATACTAAGTGAGCAAAATCCTACTCCCAGGGGGTGGGGGTGGGGGGTGTTACTACCGTAACATCTCCAGCACTGGAGCATGTGTTAACTTATAAGGAGCCCTGCTGGTGCAATGATCAAGTACTTGCTCCTAACTGAAGGGTTGGAAATTTGAACCCACAAACTGCTGTACTGAATGATGCGCTAGTTTACCTCCATTAAGATTACAGCTTTAGAATTCCTGTGGGGGCAATTCTGCCCTGTTAACCTGTAGTCAGAATCAACTAGAAGGCATATAACACAACCTGTTCAGATGAGCCAGCTGAGGGAAGGAGAGCATAATTTAAGATAATGGCAACTACGTGCATAGACGGGAGCAGCACAGAAGAGATTATTGTAGGGCTGAATACAGGCAAAGGAGGTAAAACTGATAAGACAATCCAAATGCAGGCTGTGGAAGGTGAGGAGAGGCTTTCCATTTATAGTAATGGGTAAAATGTGGGTTATCTAACAATGTTCTGTAGCTAGAAAACAAGATCTAGAGGTGGATAAAGATGAGCAGGAGGATGAGAAAAGCGGTCTAAGAAAGGCAGAAGTGCAGGGAAAGGAGGTGAGTAGTCTGAGGAATGGGTGGAAAATTGAGTGTCCAGGTTGCTTATCCTTTGTACCTGATGGCCAATGAATGTCAGAGTTGGTTTTGTCTCCGTCCAGTCAAGCTCTGGGCCTCTGAGGTCTAAGGGCTGCTGTGAACTGGAAGGTAATTGTCTGAAAAAGAAAAGGGAGCCAGGCTGGCAGATGAGGTCCTTGGGCCTGAGGAAAGGAAGCTCACCAGAACTGTTAAGGAGAGCACAGATGAGACACATTCTCATTTCCCAAAAGGTTAAAAAACCTCTTACAATGATAGATCAAATTCCCTAATAATCTTACCTGTTTCTCTCTTCCCAGCTTCCTTGTGTTGAAGAGCCCTCTTCTGGGTCTGGCACTGCCTGAGGCTGAGTTTGATTCAGGAAAAATAAATTGTGTCGAGGATGCTTAAGTGCCTGTCTAGGCCATGCCCCACCCTATAGATTCCAATATTATAAAGAGGACACAAACTGGTCACATAGGTGATGCTGCCCACCTTGCAAACTCTTCCCACCCTTGCCCCTAGCCCTGCTCACGTCTTCTCAACTGATAAGGTAAACCATTCTGGAGATTTCGAGCAGATGAGAAATGGAGTCCATGAGTTTTCTAAGAAGAGCAGGGAGGTGATATGCTGGACCTGGGTGGGCCAGTTACCAGTGGATTTGGATACTTCTCTGGATCTTCCAAGGGAAACCAACCTCTAAGACAGACCGAACCATCTCCTGCCGGTTGTACTCCACCTCTCGAATCTGAGCTGCCATCTGGTGGGGGTAGGAGTGGGAGGGAAGCTGCTTAGACTGGGTCAGGCTTGGGAAGTGGGTGAATACTTGAGAGGCTTGCTTTTCTTTTACCTCTTTGATCACTTGATCCTCTTTTTCCTCATAGGAATCCAAGCCTCGTACCATAGATTTCTTGAATCTAAAAGGAAAAGCACATCAGCCCAGAGACGTGGTCTCTTGCCAGTGGTCATTCAAGCTACAAGACAGTTGTCTAAATGAAAGTTCTCCTTAATACTAAAATTTTTTTTTAAATGTTATTTCAGACCCAGAGAAACAAAGCAGTACAGTGAACCCCGATATACTTCTCCCTCAGGTTCACTCTTAATGGTTTGCTACTCTGGCTCCACTTCTCTTTTGCACACAGATGTATGTAAATACATTGCCTTTTTGCAAACTCAAGGACAGCTTATAATCCTATACATCTCTGAATAGAAATGTGCTATACAACCACAAAAACATTCATTCACTCAATGTTTCCCCCTAATTACAGTTGTCTCTAAAATGTGCTTCTAATAGCTGTTGGCCTAGCATGGAAAGTTATGCTACCAAGCCAAAGGTGGATGATTTTACTCTGCGGCTCTCAGGCCTGGTTTTAAATGTTTTTGGTCAAACATTCTTCTAAGTGGTATAGCACTTGTCTGTTCATTTGCTGTACAGAGGTAATGTGTGGTGGTTATGATGCTAAACACTGCAAGACTGATGTGTCAAATGCGATTAATTTACCCCTGGTGGACAGTGTTTGGTGGAGCTTCCCAATTAAAACACGCTTAGAAGCAGGAATGGAATCCAATTCTGAAACAGCTTGCCTCCGGAAACTATGAACTTGGAGGAACAATGAAAGTTACACACATGTTCAGGTCTTTCGTTCAGAGGGTTGCTGAGTCTTCTAGACTTCTTCTAGACTCTACCCTTCCTCTCCCCTACCCCCTCACTCCCAAGGTCCAGTAAAAGTTCCCACATGGAATTTATCTCCATTTTCCCTCCAATCTAGAAAAATCTGACTGCTTCCTTCTGTCTATTATTCTGAATCCTCCAAAGATCCCAGCCCCTATCTTATACATACATCATCAGAAATTTCTGAATTCAGTGGTTTCCATATAATGGGAGGTGGAGGTTAAACACTGCATCACATCAAGAGTCATATACATGTCAACCCTGCTCCTACCAGGGGCAAGGCTGATCATTTCATAATCATTAGACGACTCCACTTTACTGCTTTTTAAGACTTCTCCAGTTTAGAAGTGTATGTTTTCCTTTGAAGATAGTAGGTAATCTGTTTTTTGTTATTTTTGCCCCCATCATTTTGATGTCTTTTTAGTAGGTAATCTGTTTTATAAGACTTTTTTTTTTAAATGTTTCAGACTTTTTAAATTATTAATTTCACTGAAAATTTAGAGACTTTGGATTTCCATTCGTTCATTCATTGTTGCACTTTTCTCCCTGCCCGCCCCCCTCTTGGAAAAGTAAAAGAAAAATTCTTTTATTGTTTTACAATCCCTCCCCCCCAGGTCCACTCCACTATGCAGCCTTCACTCTGGACTCCTGTCATGACAAAAATACCTGATCACATATCCCTTTTAAATGGTTTTCTCCCTCATATGTTTCAATGCAGTATACATTATTTATACCATCTTTCTCAGTCTCCCCTCAATCCCGATGTCAGTCCTGTTTTACAACAGTGGCACCATGAAGTATGTCCTTTGTGACTGAGATAATTCACTCAGCATAATGTCCTCCAGGGTCACCCATTTTGCATAATATTGCATGAGTTCCTTGTTTTTCAGTGCAGCACAGTATTCCATTGTGTGAATATACCACAGCTTCTCTGTCCATTTGCTGATGGGCACTTAGGTTGTTTTCAACTCCTTGCTATTGTGAACAAAGCCGTTATAAACATGGGTGTGCATATATCTGCTTGGGTGTCAGTTATGGCCTCTTTAGGGTATAATCCCAGTAGTGGAATACTGGGTCAAATGGTATCTCTATTTGCAACTTTTTAAGAAAGTGCCATACCACCTTCCACAGTGGTTGCACCATTTTACACTCCCACCAACAGTGACTAAGGGTTCCAGTTTCTCCACAACCTCGCCAGCATTTGTTGCTTGCTGTTCTGTTGAATTTTGCTGTTCTTACTGGGGTGAGATGGTATTTCATAGTTGTTTTGATTTGTATCTCTCTTAGACCTAGGGATTTTGAACAGTTCTTCATATACTTGTTGGCCATCTGAATGTCTTCTTTGGTGAAGTGTCTGTTCATATCCTGTGCACATTTTTCAACTGGATTATTGACCTTTATCTTGTTGTGGTCCAACAGGGACACTGTTGACTGCATGTCTATCTACTGTGAACTGCTATTGAAGGCCCCTGCAGGGGAGCCTGCTCTCAAAGTCAACATTCCTGGTCTCTCTGTACACTCACAGCTCGGGCCTTGAAATCAGAACAGACTTCCTGAGGAGTCTGGCCAAGCCTGAGGACTGTTGACAGGCTGTTGTGTGCTAAGAAGCAGACATCTTGGCTACACTCACAATATACAGAAATTATCACACTCAATATACACAAAATATCAGAAAGGAGTCTGACAGGACCAATGCAGATCTTCCTGGAGATCCCCACAGCACAGGCCAGCACTTCCTTTACCTGGACGCTGTCATCTGCAAGCCACTGTGAACTGCTGCTACAGAAAGGTCTTGCAGAGGCATCTACTCCCAGTCAGCATTCTACTGGCTTCACCTCACACTCAATAGTTTTGGCACCAACAGGACAAACTTCCTTGGGAGTCAATTAGGGTTAGTCTACCTCTGCTTACAGTTGGGTGTGAAAACTACTGGCTGAGGCTACTGTTTATTAGGAAGCAAGAGTCTAGGTCAGCTAACAGTTTACCTGGGGAACTCCTGACAGCAACAAGGCAGACCTCCACAGGGATGAGAGCAGAGCACAACCTACTTCCACCTGATTAGTTACTGAACTGTTGTAAACTACTAAAGAAGGCCTGTGTAGTGGAGTCTGTTCCTACAGCACTCTACCTGCCTCCTTTACCTAACAGCTCTGAAGCCAAAAGGACAGACCTCCTTGGGCCTAGGTTTGTGTTTGTCTGCTCCCCATTCTAGTTGGCACTGAGGCTGCTATACGGTGGGAAACAGGCATCTGGAGTGGAGGCTACATCACAGTTGATGTACTAAAAGCAGACCTCCCTGGAGGTCCATCTGGAGTGTGACTATCCTTCCCCCATGGGACTGCTGGACTGATAGAGAAACTACAGAAAATTCCCTACAGTGCTACAGAGCAGGGAAGGAAACAGACAAAAACAGTAAGATGTCCCTGAAAGGGGTTCACTGTATGTTGAGTTTTCAACTAAAAACATAGCTGCACAAACTAAGCAGGGAAGAGGGAGCTCTGTTGACCTAGTGGTTTTTTGTGCTGTGTTACAATCCCAAATGCACAACGTTCAAATCTACCAGCTGCTCTGCAGGAAAAGTGTGGGCAATTGCCTTCCATGGGATTTACTGCCTCTGAAAATCTGCTAGAGAAACAGCTATGGGTTGGTTCTGACTCGACAGCACATCCTATCAACAACAAGGTGTATAGTCAGAAATTAGTGTTAAAAACTCTTTTTTTCTTGAGATTGCTATCAACTTCATATATAATTAAGAAAATCTCAGATGCTCTGCCGGGGAAGGAGGGGCAATCTCCTCCTGTACCAGTCAGATCTGATTTGAGGGTACATGCACACAAAAATAATAAAATAAAATAAAACAAAAACAAAACAAAACAAAACAAAAATCTGTCTGCAGGAAAGTTTAGCCTTTGTTTTCTGACCTAATTTAGTATGTAAAGTAAGTAGCTCTGCCATGGCAAGTCAGTGGTCCTGCATGAAGCCATATGGACAAGGGTTGAAACTTTAGCTTCTATTGAGGGTCCTGCAGTCCTCTCAGAAAAATAGTCTTGAAGCTGCTGCTATAAGGCTACTGGTGGCCTAGTGGCAAGAAGCTGTGCTGCAACCCCAAAAGCATGCAGTTTGAGGCTACAAGCTGCTCTGAAGGAGAAAGATGGGCAATCTCCTCCCATGCAATTAACTACCTCTGAAAACCCCACTGGAGGGTCAGCTACAGGTTGGTTCTGACTTTATGGTACACAAATAAGGCTTTCCCACCCAGATCAGAACTGCAGACTATAAAACCAGATAGCTGCAGCCTGTAATTGTCTCCCCATTAATGCTTATTATAGTCATTGGTCCTTTTTATAGCAATATCATTTTTCTGGTATGATGTGAAACAGGAGCTTAATCGTTTCTTTTCTACTGGGTAAATAAGAGGGAGCTCTGGTGCCCTAGTGGGTAAGAAGTTGCACTAGCAAACCAAAGGCAAGTGGTTCAAATCCAGGCTATCTTTTCCTGTGTGATTTATAGACTCTTAAGACTTGCTGGAGGGTGAACTATGAGTCCATTCTGATGCCAAAGCAATTAAGGTCTATCTTTTTTTTTTTAAAAAAAAAAAACAACAAACAAAACCCAAACCAAAAAAAAAACATAGGTAATATTCTATCTAAATGTAAAAGTGGTTCCTTTTCTCTTTACCAATCTCATCTGTCAGGTCCTGGCCTTGCACTGTTTTGTATATGTGAGTTTATTAAGTTTCGTGGTTCAAAGTAAAAATTATTCTACTTTTAAAAAGTATACTCAGAAATCTTGCTGTTAATGCTATCCTTTTCATTTTTGCACTCTTTCCCACTGACTCACTACATGTAATCACTTCATGAGTTTCTCGGTTGTTCCTCATCTATTCAAGTTCCAATCTGTTATTCATAGGGTTGCTATGAGTCCTAGTCAACTAGAAGGCACCAAGAATAACACCACATCTATGTGAAGCTCTTGAGGAACAAGGGTTAAGTGTTCAGCAGCAAACCAAGGTCAGTGGTGTGAACCTATCAGCTTCCTCACCAGAGAAAGGCCTGCAATCTGCTGCTGTTAAGATTTTTTGGCTAAGTATACAACTCCCTGGGGACTAGGCCACCAGGGCTTAGAAAGCTGTACAGGGCAATTCTACTCTAGCATACACAATCACTAGAAGGAGGAATCGACTCAAAAGCTGTATCTTGTTGTTAGGTGCTGTCCAGTTGAGTATGACTCATAGCAACCCTATGAAGAGATCTGAACCCTCTCCTAGCCTGTGCCATTTTCATCACCTCTGACACACTTGAGCCCACTGCTGCAGTCATTGTGTCTATTCATCTTATTGAGGGTCTCCCTCTCTTTTGCTGACCCTATACCTTTCCAAACATGTGTCTCCTTTTAAGGAATAAATTCTCCTAGCAACATGCCCAAAGTATAAAAGAAGCTTCCAAGGAGCTCTCTGTGCTTTTTCTAGGACATATATGTTTGTTCTTTTGGCAGTCCATGGGATATTCAGTACTCTTCTCCAAACACTACACCTCAAAGGTATCAGTTCTATCATCTTTATTCACTTTTCAGATCTTAGACATATAGCAAGTGACTAAAAAAACCATGGTCTGAACCAGGTGCAATTCAGACTGACATCACTGCTCTTCAGTATTTTGGCGAGATCTCTTGACAAGAGGCAGACTTACCCAGTGTAATTCATCTCCTGATCTACTGACTGCTGGTACCAAGGGTGTGTTGATTGCTGATCCAAGCAAGATGATATCATTGACAATTTCAATCTTTTCCCCACCTATCATGATGTTATCTACTGAACCAGTGTAAAGAATTTTTGTTTTCTTGATGTTGAGATGTAATTCATATTGAAGGCTGTTATTCTTGATCATTGCAGCAAGCATTTCAAGTCCTCCTCACTTTGAGCAAGCTAAAGTTGTGTCACCTGCATAACACAGGTTCTTGATGAGACTTTCTCTGATACTGATGCCTCATTTCTCTGCATAGGGTGCAGCTTCACGAATCATTTGCTCAGCATACACTGATGGTATGGAGATAGGATACATACATCCCTGGTGCACACCATTCCTGAATTAACTCCATGCAATGTTCCCTTGCTCCATCTGGACAACAGCTTCTTGTTCTAGTTCTAGTTACAGATATCTTATGAGCACATTTAAATGCTCTGGGATTCCCATTCTTCTTGTTAGTCCTAATTTGTTATGATCCACACAGTCAAATGCTTTTGCATAGTCGATAAAGCACAAATAGACATCCTTCTGGAATTTTCGGTTTTCAGCCAGGATCCACGTGACATCAGCAATGGCATCCCTGGTGCCATGATGTCTTCTTAAACCCCTAGTGAACTTCTGACAGTTCTGTTAATGTACTGTTCTAGCCATTTTTAGGTGATCTTCAGCATTTTTTTTGCTTGCCTGTGATATTCATGCTATCATTTGATAATTTCCACATTCTGTTGGATTACCTTTCTTGGAGATGGGAACAAATATGGACCTTTTCCAGTCAGGCAACTGGTCATTATTTGTTCTGACAGACAGACAGATACACACACAAACACTCAATTTTCCTTTTCTTTTATACAAAAGGTAGACTATTATGGGTGTTACTTTGCATGCTGCTTTTTCACATAACATTCTAGAAATAATTCCCTGTCAGTTCAGTTCTTCCTCATAACTCTTAATTAAAACATCCACTCAGTTATCATCGGATCTGGGTCAAGATGTAAGGTGAGCTTTTTCTGTTTCCCATATCCTACCAGTGTGATCCAAAGACTGGAAGGCACAGAACTGGAAATCTGACATTTCTTCCTCTCATTTTCCACATTGAGGAGATAGGTATAATAGCTACCATGAGTTTTTCTGTGACTCCTTGGCTCTTAGATCACCTTGAGTTCTTTCCACGCCCCATAATGTAAGTATGTTACTGTTATGGGCCATCGAGTCACTTGCGACTCATAGCAACCTTATGTACAACAGCCCTAAACTCTGCTCTGTCCTGTGCCAATCGCACTGTCTCCAATACACCCATCCCAATTACTCCAGTCACTGAATCAATCCACCTCATAGAAGGCCTTCCCCTTCTGCCCTGTCCCTCCATCCTAAGCATGATGTCCCTCTCCAAGGACCGGTCCCTCATTACAACATATCCAAAGTATGTTAGACGGAGCCTCAGAATCCTTGCGTCCAAGGAGCCGCCTGGTTTGACCCTTTCCAGGATGAATCTGTTTGTTTTCCTAGCAGTCCATGGTACCTGCAATACTCTTCTCCAGCACCACAGCTCAAAGGCATCAATTCTCCTTCTATCCTCCTTGGTCATTGTCCAATTCTCTGATGCATAACAGGTGATTGCAAAGACCATGGCCTGTATCAGATGCACCTTAATCTCCAGAGAGACACCATTGCTCTTCAGTACTTTGGAGAGGTCCCTAACAGCAGACTTTCCCATTGCAATACGTCTTTTAATTTCCTGGCTACTGGTGCCAAGAGTGTTGACTGTGCATCCAAGCAAACTAAAACTGTGAACAATCTCAACCTCTTCACCATCCATCCTGATGCTGCCAATTGACCCAGTGGTGAGAATCTTTGTCTTCTTGACATTGAGCCTCAATCCATATTGGAGGCTTCAGTCCTTGACCCTCTGCAGCAAGCGCTTCAGGTCCTCCGCAGTTTGATCAAGCAGGGTTGTGTCATCTGCATACTGCAGAATGAGCACTACTTCTTGACCACTATAATCCAGTCCTTACTATTATGTTCCATACATTTCAAGTAATTAAGTAATTCATCTTTTTATACAGTTCTGTAATTGTCAAATAGAGTGCTGGTGGCCTAATCCCTAGGGAGTTGAGCTGCTAATCAAAAAGCCACCACTGATTCCATGTGAGATGAGCAATCTCTTCTCATTGGATTTACAACCTCAGAAACCCAAAGGCAGGTCAGTTCCTATTTGATGGCAATGAAAAAAAATATTTTGCTAAATGCGTTGTAAATCCCATTTTCCCCAATGAGATTACAAACCTTTCAATGCCATTCCTTTTATGTCCAAATAAAGCCTAGAATAAGGAGTTCCGGGGAGCTCTGGTGGCCTAGTGGTGAGAAGCTGTGCTTCAATCCCAAAGGGTGCACTTCAAATCCACTTGCTGCTCCTAACAGAGAAGGATGGGAAATCTCCTCCTGTGCAATTTACTGTCTGACAATCTCCTGGAGGGTCAGCTATCGGTCAGTTCTGACTCAATGGTTCTCACACAACACACACACACACACACAAATGAAGACAATATATAAGCAGTCTTCCAATACAGGAAGGTCTCATACCTGGAATGGACCCAGATAATTAACCACCTTCTTCAGCTCTGCTAACCAGTAATTTACCTTGCATAATCCTGGGAGGAGATCAGAAACTTGTCTTTCATCTGGACTTCAGCTTTGTTCTCCCACCAAAATTTGTTGGTTGCTTTCTTGTGCTCTAGGCTGAGAATGGAGATGATCAGTAATCTCAGATAAAGAATATATAACTCAGATAACTAAGCATCAGCTAAGCAATGTCCTATGATCTCTGGTAAAAGAATACTGCTATGAGCTCCCTTGAGATCACCAGTCTCCCTTATTCCAATAAAAAATGTGAGAAATGAGATGACAGTCAGTGACCTTTGAGCCACATGCTGACTAGCTGGCTTTCCCACCTGTTAGGTGCTAGTGAATTGTTCCAACTCACAGCAACCCTGTGAAGAGCAGAATAAAACACTGCCTGTTCACTAACTATCCTGTCAACTCAATATACAATTGAATATTTGCATTCAATATAGTAGCCACTGTGTCAATCCCTCTAACTGAAGGTCTCCCTAGTTTTCATTGTACCAGGTATGGATGTAGTTCTCATGGGGCTGGAGAGAAATCACCTCATCCTGTTCTGAGGAGGGTGCGGGGCTGTACTTTATCCAAGACAGATCTGTTCATTCTTAAGGCAGTCTATTCAATAATCTTTACCAACATCTTAACTCAAAGTCACCAATTCTTCACCTCTCTTTATTTATTGCGTAGCTTTCACAGCCGTATGAAGGAACTGAAAATACTATTGCGTAGGGCGGGCGCACAAAGTCACATCTCTACTTTTAAAGTGGTCTTTTGCAATAGACGCAATCCATTCACCGTGATCAAATCACAAAAACACCTTACTTCGCAGGCCCCTCCCCTCGGCCCAGATCTTACCTAGCGAGGTGCTCCAGCAGCCCTCCGTGCAGCACGGTCAGGTTTCCGTGGCTCAGGTGTTTCCGCACTTCACAGGCGCAGCAGAGACACCAGCAGCGCTGATCGTGCTCGGGCGCGTAGCGCTCCACCTGCGCGGCGCGGACGGCCTTGCGGGCGGCCTCCACCTGCGACCGAGAGGACAGATAGTGAGAAATGCAGAGTAGGAAGCCCACGGGCCCGCGCGCCCGCCCCAGGTCGCCCGGCCCTGCCAGCTTCCGGTCCGTACCTGGGGTAGGAGCCGCTCCAAAGCAACCTGAAGCTGTCGCTTGTGCTTGAGACTGTAGACGTGTCCCCGACCACAGAAGAAGGTCTGGCGGCAAATGGGGCAGTGATGCGCCGGAGCCATAGTCACAGGAGAAGGTAACCGTGAAAATGACGCCACTGATCTCTCAGCATCCGGTAACCTCTTAGGGGCGGGTCAAATACAGCAACAGCTTCTGCGGCTGCGCAGATGTGTTTCCCAGAGTCCCTCCTATTTTCAAATAACCGCGGTCTCTGTTTAAAAGCAGTTAATCCACAGCAGTTAATCCACAAAGTGTGGTCTGTATTACTCTGCCGATGCGCGGGAAGGTGAGCATGCAATACTTAGGTGAAGACGTAAAAAAGATAGATAATGTTACAAATCACAACTTTCATAGGCTGCTTACTGTGTTGAAGAAGTCCTGGTCTGTTGGTGCAGTACTCAAGTGCTTAGCTGCGATCTTGATTCCAATTCACTGAGAAAGATGTGTCACTTTACAGCCTTGTAGAGAAACCCAACAATCTGTTTTAACAAGTCCGCAAGGTGATTCAAATACTTTAATGTTTGAGAATTATTTGTCTAGGTCTCAGGTCATCTTGACTTCTTCTCATTCACTTTTTCACATTGTCATCGAATCAGTACTGACGCTTCGGAACCTGCCTTTGGCCACCAGAGGGTATATACTATATGATATGCCTATATTTAGTATATTGTTGTTGTTGTTGTGTGCTGTCCAGTCACAACCTTCCCATAGCTGATTTGGATTTTTTTTTTAGGTTTTAATGAAAGTTTATAAAGAACTTGGGTTTCCATACATTGTCGCACATTTTCCTCCCTGCTCCCTTCCCCCGAGTTCACTTTTTACTTTGGAAAAAAGTTCTTTCATTCACCTGATTTTAAGAAGCACATGCCTATACTTCTTTTTTTTTTAAATTGTGACTTTAAAGAATGTTTACAGAAAAGTTACATTTTCATTCATTCATTGTTGCACATTTTCCTCCTGACACCCCCAGTTCACTTAAAAAAAATAATAATTGTTTCTTAATTACCTCTCTCCACCCACCTCTTCCACCAGGCCCATACTTCTCTTGCAGAGCAGTTGGTGGATTCAAATCATGTGCCTTTGAAATTACTGTGTAGCTTTTTACCACTAGAGCTCCCTATTTAATATATTTGCATTAAACATGGTAGAATGTTAAATGATACAGGAAGCATTACAAGAAGATGAAAGGAGTACACAGAGTCACTGTATCAGAAGGAATTGGCTGACACAGAAGAATTTCATGAAATAACATGAGCAAGAGCCTATGGTGATGAAGGAGGAAGTCCAAATTGCTCTGAAGGAGTTGGCAGAAAACAAGGCTCCACGAGTTGACAGCATGTCCATTGACATAACAACAAACAGATGCTGACCTGAATGTGCTGACTAAGTTATGCCAAGAAATCTGGAGGACAGCCAGCTGGCCAACTGACTGGAAGAGATCGATATTTGTTCCCATTCCAAAGAAAGATGACCAACAGAGTGCAGAAATTATTGAACAATATCATTAATATCACATGCAAGCAAGATTCTGCTGAAAATTATCCAAAAACATTTGGAGCAATATGTCAACAGAGAACTGCCAAATGTGTAGGCTGGATTTAGAAGAGGTCGTGGTACTAGGGATATTATAGCTAATGTTAGATGGATCTTGGCAGAAAGCAGAGAATACCAGAGGAATGTCTATCTGTGCTTCATTGACTATGAAAAGGCTTTTGACTGTGTGGATCATGATAAGCTATGGCTGACTCTGAGAAGAATGGGAATCCCAGAATATTTGATTGTGCTTATGTGAAACCTATACTTGGACCAAGAGGAAGTCATCAGAACAGAGCAAGGAGACACTATGTGGTTCAAAATCAAGAAGGGGGTTTGTCAGGAATGTATTCTGTCTCCATACCTTTTCAATCTGTATGCAGAACAGATCATCCAAGACGCTGGGCTGTACGAGGAGGAATGTGGCATCAGGATTGGTGGAAGAGTCATCAACAACCTGCGTTATGCAGATGACACAACCCTACTTGCTGAAACTGAGGAGGACCTGATGCACTTGCTGCAGAAGAAGGTCAAGGACTGCAGCCTTCAATACGGATTGAAGCTCAACATCAAGAAAACAAAGATTCTCACCACTGGGCCAATTGGCAGCATCAGGATGGATGGTGAAGAGATTGAGATAGTTAACAGTTTTAGTTTGTTGGATCCACAGGCAACACTCTTGGTACCAGCAGCCAGGAAATCAAGAGACAAGAGTATTGAAGAGCAACGATGTTAGGCTGGAGACTAAGGTTCGCCTGATCTGGGCTATAGTCTTCATAATGCTATGCATTGGAGAGTTGGACAGTGACTAGGGATAATAGAAAGAGAATTGATGCTTTTGAGCTGTGGTGCTGGAGAAGAATGTTGACTATACCATGGACTGGTATGGACAAACAGATTTGTCCTGGAGAGGGTGAACGCGGAGTGCTCCTTGGAGTCAAGGATTCTGAAGTTTCATCTGACATACTTTGGGAATGTTGCAAGGAGGGACTGGTCCTTGGAGAGGGATATCATGTTTGGCAGAGTGGAGGGACGGTGCAGGAGTGGAAGACCCTCAATGAGATGGATTGATTCTGTGATGGGCTGTTGGGAATGAGTGTATCAGAGACGGCAAGATTGGCACAGGATAAAGCAGCATTTAGGGCTCTTGTACATAGGGTCGCTATGAGTTGCAAGTGACTCGATGGCACATAACAACAACAACAACAATATTTAATATGTTTTTATATACTATATATTTGCTATGTTGTTGTTGTTGACTGCCTTCGAGTTGAGCAAGACTCATAGTGACCCTATGAACAAAATGCCTGAAGCCCCTCTACACCTATCGACATTTAACAAAGTTCATAGAATTTTTAGAAGCAAGTTGTTTAGGAAGTATTTATATTAAATATCTAAATTATTCAAGATAATTCTCTGACATCTCTTCCCAGATTAAGGGTGCTACCATCCCACCCCCCAATCTTCAGGGCTGAATCCTGTTCAACTGTAATGTGGCAGGTAACTACATCATTTCATAATTGCCATATTTCCTCATTAACTAAGTGCCAATCATGAAAATCATGGCTAACCTTGACACACAATTTTAACTACAAGTATCATCTGAAATATAAAATGGAATGTAATTTCCATGAGATTAGTGACTGTGATACAAGGTAAACTTTTAATTTTCAGAGGCTGTAATATGCAAGGCACTGTAACTAATGGTCAACTCCAAAATGAGGGATTTCTCTTTCACTACTCCACAAATTGCTGTCTGTCAGATACTCCTCTAAATCTAAACATTCAGATTAAGACAGACTAGGAAGAAGGATTAGCCATCCACTTCTGAAATAGCAGGCCTCTGAAAACCCTATGTACAACAGAACACATTTAGACTAACAGAAAGGGCAACATAGGTAGAACTTTCAAGTATGGAAATACAAAGGAAGAGGAACAGTTGTAAGCAGACACTAGTGACTGGAACATGGAATGTGAAAACCATGAATGTAGGAAAATTAGAAATTGTTAAGAAAGAAATGGAACACATAAACATTGACATGCTAGGCATTGGAGAGATGAGATGGACCAGCATGGGGCATTTTGAGTCAGAGGATCATATGATATATTACTCCGGAGATGAAAAGGTGAGAAAAATGGGGTTGCTTTCATAGTTAAAAAAGTAATTTCTAGATCCATCTTGAAGTAAACATTGTGAGTGATAGGATTATATCCATACGCTTACAGGGAAGTCCAGTGAATACCACTATCATTCAGATATATGCACCAACAACCAGAGCCAAAGAAGAAGAAATAGATGATTTCTACCAACTTTTACAGTCAGAGATCGATCGAACATGCAATCAAGACACGTTGATAATAATGGGTGACTGGAAAGCGAAAATTGGGAACAGAGAAGAATCACTACTTGGAAAATATGGGCTTGGTGACAGAAATGAAGCTGGGGATAGAATGATTGAACTTTGTACAATCAATGACTTATTCACTGCAAATACGTTTTATAAGAAACATAAACGCAGATTATACACATGGATTTCACCTGATGGTATGCATAGGAATCAGATCGATTACATCTGCAGAAAAAAACCACTGGGGAAGCTCAGTATCAGCTGTGAAAACTAGGCCAGGATCTGATTGTGGAACAGACCACCAACTACTCATAAGCAAGTTCAAGCTGAAGTTGAGGAAAATTAAACCGAATCCACAAGAGCCAAAATATGACTTTGATTTCATCCCACCTGAATTTCAGAATCATCTCAGGAACAGGTTTGAGGCCTTAAACACTAATGAGTGAAGACCAGATGAGTTGTGGGAGGATGTCAAATGTATCATCCAGGAAGAGTGCAAACAGTCATTACAAAGACAGAAGAGGAAGAAA